CGTGCTGATTATGTAGCTCAGTTCGGAGATACAGACGGTTACTAAGGAGGTTTGTTTAAATGTAAGTGTATGTTGATATGTCGTCACCAGAATGCAGGACACATTCGTAACATAAATATAGCTAAGAGATCGTTTGAAAATGTGGCAAAGTTCAAATATTTAGGAGTAACAGTAACAAATCAGAATGTGATTAATGAGAAAATAAAGACGAGTAATGACATCACTTCAAACCTCGCAGGAACTGGTATGCTCTTGCGTACAGAAATGCACTGCAACCAGAGCGTCACAGACGTTCGACTGAAATTTTCGGAATCACCATAACTATTTTGTTAGAAGCAGTTGAATCTCATACGGGTCATCAAAACGGAAACACTTGTTGTGCTATGTTGTTATAGGTCCGAGAACACGCCTAGGAGTTGCAGCTCCCGGAAAGGAGTACACTCTTCCTCTCGTGTGCAGAATCCAAAGGACGATCCGGAAGGGAAAGATAGGTACAGACATTCTGAAGTTGGGGCAAGCATAACGGCAATGCATAAAACGATTAGGACAACGTAGAGGAATAAGAAAAATTGTTTCTCTTGATCTTTTGCTGCAATTATCTGGACAATGTCACAAGTCAGCACAAAGTGCAAGGAGCCACACGCGCTCGCTCACACAGAACGAAACAGACCGTTGAATTCCCAGAGAAAGCTAGTGGGTGTGTTTGAAAATCACCCACTCTTCGGCGGTCTCTGACCGACACCGCTATCATGCGGGTGTCCAGGAAACATGATGGAAGGGCTGTGAACCCCGGACAGAAACGAGGGTACATTAGTTACATTTAGGCGACACGAACGGCCAGAACTAACCATATTCATTCGGTGATAGCCAGAATTTCGTATTGTCCCTTGATAGACATTCTGTAGGCAAGTAAAATGTGTATACACAACCTTGCCTTGTGTTAACAGATATCCGCACGACAAGGCCTGAATTAGCTTGCCGACCCAGCTAAATGAAGACTACAGAAGATAATGGAGTCCTAACGTTAATAATATAACTCAAGGCGACAGCAGAGCCTGCAAACCGACGGACATGAACAGAGAGCAGTCGGACCAGGACACCAAGGACAACCGCTGACACTTGAGGCCGGAACGAGTCAAGGAGCCGCTCAGCTGCCCGAAGAACGGTTCCGTAGCCTCGTGTCAGGAACACGGAATGGACCGTTCGCTGGACACTGAAAACGGAATCAGTTATCATTAAGCGAAGACTCCAGAATCGAGATAATGCGCATGTGAAGACTATCTGCTCCTGTGTCATTTGCAAATGGCGGCCCACGGGCTGCGTGTGGCCGTCGGACTTGTCGGTGGGGCCCGCGAATAGGCTTCTCTAATATAAAGTAAACTATTTAGTTAAAAAACGTTCCCTAGCAGAAATATGGGCACTGCAGTTTGTTGCACACCGGTGCAGACACGTCTGGTTTCCGTGCCGGGTTTCCGCACACGCCATCGCCACGGTCCTGTGTTGAAACCTTTCTAATGGAGCAACTAATGGAGACATGTTGGCTTGGACTCCAACCCATGTGCTTAGCAGCAAATTAACAATATTTCCCGTCTTTTTGTCTGAAAGGGAACATCTCTTCTTTTTAACAATTTTTCTACGACCCGCCGTTTGCTGTTATATAGCCTATGTACTGTATATTATTAGGCAGTGTACTATATACGCTATTCGACGTTACTGTAAAGAATTATGTAGTTTATTTAATGATGTTTATTTAATTAAAAGAATTAAAAATAAGTATATTGAGATGGGCAGGATATGTTATAAGGAGAGAAAATGAAGAAATTATAGAAAGAATAATGCTTGTAAAACTGGAAAGGAGAAGAAAGAAAGATAGACCAAGAATGAGATGGCTGGATTGTGTGGCTAAGGATTTGAGGAACTTGGATGAGGTTAACAGGAAGACAAAGGCGCAGTAGCAGGATGGCTGGAGGAAGTTTTTAGAGCAGTCCAAGACCCACAAAGTGTTTTAGGGCCACGCTGTTCAGATTGAAATGTTTACTTTTGCACCCCAAGTTATGGTCATTTATATTGAAGCAGGTACTCTGTGGGCAAGTGCTCGTGACCTTTAATGTAATGGCCGGCATCTCTTTCGGCTGCTAAAACTGTTTCTGTCTTCAAGTGAGATGCCATTATTCTGACTGCCGAGGGTTGATCTGAGAGTGGCGTTTACATATCTGTCTGTGTTTGGCAGAAGTGCAGATGCAGTTGATGTTACGCTATTCCGATCGGCCAAAACGGATTAATTGTCCCAGTTTAAGGATTTCTTAAGTGGTGTTGATTCTAAATACGGCTGTGCTCTCTGCTGTTTACGGATTTCCATTAGTTTGAAAGCTATAAAAGTACAATGATAGAAGTTGTACTTGCTTTAGAACGTAATAATGCAGGTTTGAATAGACTGTCAGGTTTTGTCTGAAGAGACAAGTGACTCATCTGCCTGCCTAAATGCCATGTGCCACATAAAGTGTGTGTACGCAACTGTGAACAGCGTTTTCATATTCTGATCCAGATTATCCGACACCCGGATTAACTGTAACCGGAGTAGCGAGGGTTTACTGTACCTTTTTTCAGGAATGTGACGAGAAGCAGCTCAGTGAACTCCATACTCACGCTCCCTGCTTCTGTAGGACGCAGTTTGCTATTTTCGTCTCTGTATCAGGCCTCGCAAGTTGTTTTCCAGAAAGCTTCCATCTAAGCTGTCACCTGTTGGAAGCATAATGTATGCATCGGCGACCTCTGTACTCGGACGACACTCCGCTAAGCCTAAAGATAGCTTAGCGTTTTGTCTTGCAATCGATATGCCCAGCTGGTATTCTCCCTTGTCAGGGCGTCCAAGGAGGTAGCGAGTGTGTAAGCAGGGAACAGTACAACAGCTGTTGCTTGGAACCAGCCTTGTGGACACGTTGTTTCGCCTGCAACTAGAGAACACGCAGTAATGGAAGAGACGTTTTCTGTGCAGTCCGTGCCGGCTCTATATAACGAGGACCAGCTGCCATACGTGAGCCCCCGCCTTGAGGCGGGTTCGAATACCTCCACCGTAACCCTGCGAGTCGTACGATGCGACGAAAAGGAAACTCGATGCCTGGGGATATAAGTGGACCACCTTGTTCCTGGGGGATATAAATACGGGGACCTGGCCCTCCAAGTTGGGGAAGTGTCGAATCTGAGACGTGCTACGGCGTCACAGAGGAAATACAGCACCTGGTTCTGTCCAGGGAGAGCTGTCAGGGCGTGGGCTAAGTTCTGTAGTGTCGTATCAGTTTTGAGGCTGACGGGAGAACTGGCTCGGGGCGTGGGTGTTAAGATTTTGTTCCTCATCGGGCCTTGAGGGATAAAAGAAAACGACATGGAAACTCGGGACATCCCATCTTTCAGCCGAGTGTTGATGTTCTGACCTTTCTCGGATTCGAACTAGGTGCGGCCGCAGTCGTTGCCACTCGCACCACGTATTCTGCGTACCATGAGCGTCGCGCACTGAGTAAATGAAGAAGTTTCCTGTGTGAGACTTGTCAATCTCGCGCGTCAGATTTCGCGTCGGTGATGCGACCGGATCTGATTGTGTGAACCTCTTATCTCTGATTACTGACGTCATTACGATTCGATACTACATGGCTGATGTCACTGGGTTACAATATTGCACTTCGCCTTGATGTTAAGGCTGTTGCACTGACCCGTCCAACAGATGTCTCTGACAAATGTCCGACACCTGATCTGCCAGTTCTGTTCATGGCGGCGGCCACAGGAATATCGGATTTAAGCGGCAACAGCTTTGATAACGCTGTTCCAGATACGCGTGTCTCTTCAGAGTAAGCTGACGCATGCAGGAGTCGCTTCTGTCCCATGTGAAACTACTCGTAGCTTGTAAGATTTGAGGCTTTCACGGCGGTGACTATGAAGAAAGCAGTCTCCTGAGATTTTGCGCCGTGTATATGTGGTGTTAACCGACGTTTCGGAGGAACGTATCGCCTCCATCTTCAGGGTAGAAGGAAAAATATAAGAAATCCGCAAGCGAAGAGACCGTGAGAACCGGTAAAAGCAAACCAGTCTGCACCACATATACACGGTGCAAAATCCCAGAAGACTGCTTTCTTCATACTCGTAGCTTCTCCGTAACCCTGTTGTTATATTGCAGAAGGTTAGCACAACCAAAAGCGACAGGTTTGAATCGTATTCTGAAGGACACCTGTTCGAACCTCCTGTTTGAGATATCCAAAATTCGGAATGCTATGCGTCGTCATGAGGTAGTGACCGTAGATCGTTACTGTACTCTGTTTGCGACGGCAACCGAGTCGCCATTTCGGAGATGCCGTTGACCACTGTTAAGATTCGTGCTTACTCAGAGTTTGACGTGATCCTTAGAGAAGCTTTACTCTGCTTCTACGAAGCACCTCCTGACTTGGTATTCATCATTACACTTCATTCTACGCGGAATTAACCTACCCCTTTGCTAAAGTGACTTTAAATAACATAGCGGTAATAATTCTTGTTTTTGTGGATAGTAAGCCCTCGTTAATCCGGGTTAATTGGGAAGGAGAGGTCTTCCAGATTAAGCGATAATATATTTAGTGAAACAGTAGATAGCCCTAAAAGACAAAATATACTTGGAACACGAATGGGAAATTTAAAAGAAACTCGTGTAGTGCTAATGAAAATAAATAACAAATTATCACTGTAGAGCCTTTGTTTAAAAAGTATAAAAAGACGGTACATTTGTTCATCGATAGAAGGAGACGGGATAGCGCAGTTTGTATAGCGACTGGCTACGGGCTGGACGATCGAGGGGTTGGAGTTCGAGTCCCGGTAGAGTCAAGAATGTTCTATTTTCCACGTCGTATAGACCGACTCTGAGGCCCACTCAGCCTCCTACCTAATGGGTACCCGGGGTCTTTCCCAGGGATAAAGTGGCAGGGTCGTGGCCACCTGCACACGTCATGCAGCAACATGACAGTGTTCTCTGGTTTCAGGGCCCAATGGAACTGAAGAAGAGGCTGGAGGAAGTTCGTCTGCTGGAGTCGCGCAAGTCTGCCCGCCTCATGGACCAGGACACGGACTTCGCGAGGCTGGCCGACATGTCCGGTGACCGCAAGAGACCGTCGTCCCACTCTATCGATGTGCCCGCAGTGCAGGGGTGAGTGTGGCTTAATGGCGTAGACTCTGTAAGCAAGGAATTCTTAACATGCCCGTAGCAAGTTCCTCTGCTCTCTAAAGCATTCAACATGCCGGATCGCCTTTACGTTTCATAAGCAACAAAACTGTTCGGTTGGTAGCCCCAGCAGCGTATACCAGTTTGTACTGTCGGTAATTTCCAATTGTAACGGCAGTGCGAAGTACTGTGGCGTACGTAAGATATATGGACCTGACTGGTTTTCATTGTATTCGAGATGACATGGCACGCATCTGGTGCCTCTGCCTATACTCAGAGCATAAGTAGCGAAACGATTCTGAGGTTTCTTAAAATTAGCGGCGGTGAAATTGCATAGGCCGATTTGTTGTATATAGTACACGGAACAGTGCTTTCAGGATGTGTAGGCATGTATGGAAGTTATTCCCGTTCGCCGTTGTTTAGCGTCCATAGTGATCCCTTGATGCCAAGCAACAAGACAGTGATTGACAAAAGAAGCATTTGTCGCTATTCAAAGTCGCCTAGTAACTAGACGGAAAGACAGGGAAGGCGAACAGTGAACGCCACAAGGTTGCTTAGCATCAACAGCAGAGGCTGTCAGGGGAAAGTTCTGGGTTCGGTACTGTTGCGATGTGGCAGTGTGCAGGCAGCTGACGAGCTTGGGACTGTCTGCAGAGACTTGCTTGCGTGCCGGACTTGCACCGCTAAGGGGAAAACATCTTGAAGTTTTCTTCCTCCAGCCTGTTCAGTGCGACTTGGTGACATTTTGAATCTCGTTAGTTCTGGTCTTTTGCATTACTGATGGAAGCTAGGCCAAGGAACTTTTCCCTTTGGTCGCTATAATATTTAACAGTTCATTGAAGACTGGTTATCATTTAGGTTTAATTTTAGTAAAAAAAAAAAGAAGTAAAGCTATCCCTGTAGCAGGCCGTGAAGGCCCATAGGGTTGTGAGACGTTGAGGCGCCCACATTATCTAGACAAGCGGATCAAAGATGGCGGTAAGGTTGTCAGCCTTACGCGCCGGCCGCGCTGAAGTCCCCAAGAAAATTAATTTTAGTATGCCTCTAGTTTTAAAACAGGGATACAGTCCGTGATGGCCCAGAGTAGGACCCTGGGCACTAGCTGTGAATCAGTTCTTGTAGTTGTATGTTATGTTGTTGCTGGCAGCAATGCAGCAGAGATGTGTGGAACTGGTTGGCTTCTTAATGTCTGGAGCCATTGCGAGGAGATGTGTCACATGATGTATACTTAGTGCAGAGCTGCTGTTGTGTAGGCCGAGTGTTAAATCGCGATTATTTGATAACGTTAAGATTTCTTTATTTACTTCCCATCTAGAGAAGTAGGAAGAACTGTGGCCTGCTTTACGTGTATCAAAACTCTACTTTTCGTAGATTAAAATTAATAAAAGTGACTGTACGAATATCTGTGTGACAGTATCTGCTGTGAAACGTCTGCGTTTCATTAATTATCTTCTATACACATTTCGGACTTATGCGCTTAACAAGAAATATTCCATTTCGCGCCTGTCTGCATTCGGTAGCCCGCAAATCAGCATACATTCGTAGAGCAGCAGTGTAGTGTTTCTCTTAGAAATAGGACACTTAGTACTTGGTCCTGTTTAACTCTATAACACAATAGTGTGAGTATTGCAATTACAGCAGTTTGTAAATTATCTTACCTTAATTTTGAGTTACATGTTCCTGTAAAGTATACTGCAAACAAAACAAGTCAGCGTTTTGAGTAATGCAGACACGCCCTGTGCTCTACGCACTTGAGATTCGTTCGAGCTTACGTGAGCAATCTGTCTAGTTCCCTTACCCTGCCTGTTGACTGGTCCTGAGAGCTGCCGACGCCTAGCGTCAGGCTCGGCGTTACTTCTTGTGAACCCATTTGCTGCGGCACTTCATGCTTTAATTTCACTCGCAGACGCCTTTCGGTCCGTCAGCCATATGAGTGCCACTTAGATCGGTGTTCTCAAGGGCCGTCACTTGCACTCACCGCGGACGTGGGTGCTCTGATCCTCCCTCAGACCTGATAAGGGAAACAGATGCAGATGCCGAAAAACGAACCCAAGACGATAGACGGTGTTCCCATCGCCAGAGACACCCAGACAAGCAAGCCACACGTCCAAGTGGTGACTTTCTTTCTTCTGTGGCGTAGAATGGTACGTTAGGTGATTGAAGAGTGATGATTTGGAGGGAAGCGTTTGTGGCCTATTCGAAAAACTATTTCCTTGGAGGGCTGAGGAAAACCATGAATGAGCTCAGAATAGCCGGTGTCCCTGCCAGGATTTGTACCGAGCACCTCCCCAATGGCAGTTAGTTTTGCAGCACAACATTTGTACGTTTAGCGTGTCAGAAGTGACCATTCGCCTTGAACTGCCTGCCTTTCTGTTGCTGAAGAAAATACATAATTATGTAATTGATTTTACCTTGCTTAAATTTGATCAGACATATGTAGAGTCAATGTACTTCGGTACATAACACGCTTGTAGTATTGAAATACGAGTATTACAGTAAACCCTCGCAAATTCGGTTGCAGTTAATCCGAATCGAAATAGACACTTTGCATTTAGGAGGTCAGACGAGTCGCTTGTCTGTTCAGACAAAATTTGACAGTTTCTTCAAACCTACATCATTATGTTCAAAAACAAGTGCAACTTCGAGTCTTCTAGCGTTGAATAAATGTACTGTCTTTTTTATGGTTTTTAAACAAGGGCCCTACATTGATATTTTTGACATTTATTTTCATCAGCACGACTCGTATCATTAAATTTTCAGTTTATTTGTGCTCTAAGTTTTTTAGGGCTGCAATTTGCTTCACTAATCCTGTCCCCAGTCACGCCGGAACAGCGGGGGTAGGAACGAAAAGGCACGTTGTTGAACCAGAAGAGTTCGCCGTGTTTCGGAGCGACGCGATGTTAAATCACGCACAAATGGCAGGATGGAGTAGTAAGACATTGTAACTTCCGCGCTACAAGACATGTACCGACGTCAGGCCGAGTGACAAGGCATGTCTTGCATGTTTAGTGTTACGAGTTGCACCAGCTCTCGTCAGAAATGGCCCAGTTGTTCTCCCTTGTGGCCGTGGAAATCTGTTCCTCTGCAGCGTTTCCTTCAAGTTTCCACAGTCACTTGCGCCTTCCGCCATGTAAAGTCGTAAACGCGCAGGCGCACACTCCTAATTCAAGCAGTTACACATTTTCACTCTTGCCTGCAAGTGTGAGCCATGCGATTATTTGACTTACCTCGGTTTGCCGTATAGTTGGAGCAAGGTCGAGGCGTGTTTCGAGACCGAACTGAAACGCGCAAGATATGTCTAGTGATTCGAACGTTGATTTTTCAGTCTCGAATTGTGAGTATTAACTGAATTTACTTTAGGCCGCGCCATAGCTCAAGCGGTTAGTAGCTGGCTTCCCACCGCGGCGGCCCGGGTTCGATCCCGGGTCTGGTCAAGTTGGATCTGTGGTGGACGAAGTGGCGCTGGGGCGGGTTTTCTCCGAGTACTTCGGTTTCACCTGCCAATCTTCATTCCACCAAATTCTCCATCATCATAATCACCCGGGGGCAGGCTACAATAGGCCAATCAGTGGCCGCCGTGCCGAGTGGACTCAGTTGGACTGCATTTACTTTGTTCAGAACCGCACAGAGCACCGGGTCAAGCAGAACCATCACGGATGGCAACACTTACAAAAACGTCTCGCTTTCTGTCCCTCTGTCTGTCCCTCCCTTATTCTGCCCACGGCAATAAAGAAGATGGCCATAGAATTACTTTCTTTTTAATATACAAAAGCGCTTAATTTAGAACGAATAAATAGTACACTGTAGTGCAGCGTGGCAAGTGGCTAGTGTTACAAGCTGTGATCATAGAGACACGGATTAGTGTAGTTGGGAACATCTATTGGTTTCATCTCGACTCCATAAAAACTTCTGCTAAATCTCGCCCCGAAACGAAAAAGCCATTCTCGAACGTGGCAACCAGGAACAGTTACTGTACTGCAATATGGCACACACACGGCTGGCACGCAGCTCAGAGCAAAAGCGGGACGGTTTCCACAACAAGGCTGCGTTCAGGGAAATGCTTTGTGAAAGGAGACTTTGAAATAATCAGTTTGAAGTTGTGACGTCAGGGCGTACCACTTTTGAGATGTCGGTGCGACTGAGTTATGCGGCGACTAAGTGGGCAGACAGCGCGCCTCGCCGTGTCTGGCCTGAAAAACGTTGCACGCCGGACGTCCGATATAAGGACCAGTCGGTTGATGCAGTTTATGGTGACAGTCGCTGTCCTGAGACACTTACGAAGCACGTAAATGAATTCCGTGGGCAAAATGGGCGACCAAGTTTGTATTCTGAACAGCTGAGCTTTGCGGTGACTTTGTATTTCCTCCCCCCCCCCTCTGGTAATGACGTGACCCGCACACTTCTGCCTTCAGGGCCTGAAAGTGTTACGTAGGAGCAGTAGCTGTTTTATATCGATAGTCTACGTAGTATACTGATGCAGCAGCGATAGCGTTCAGACCGGAGAGACGCTGATGCAGGAAAGGAACTGCAGTTTGGGATAAGTCACGAGGCCTGTCTGATGTCTGTAAGCCCGCAGTATACTGATGCAGGAAATGAACTGCAGTTTGGGATAAGTCACGAGGCCTGTCTGATGTCTGTAAGCCCGCAGTATACTGATGCAGGAAAGGAACTGCAGTTTGGGATAAGTCACGAGGCCTGTCTGATGTCTGTAAGCCCGCAGTATACTGATGCAGCAGCGATAGCGTTCAGACCGGAGAGACGCTGATGCAGGAAAGGAACTGCAGTTTGGGATAAGTCACGAGGCCTGTCTGATGTCTGTAAGCCCGCAGTATACTGATGCAGGAAAGGAACTGCAGTTTGGGATAAGTCACGAGGCCTGTCTGATGTGCGTGCGAAGTTGTCGGCGGAGGGCGTCAGGAGAAGCGGAGCTAGAGAAGCTACGGCAGATGGAACGCATTCGGCTTCGCCAGAAGCGAAATATCCTT